TGTCATCATGCATGAAGTTGTAGATGAATCACTGCGTAAAATATGTCACTATCAATAGAATGTGCCGCAGCATTATTATCTTTTAGATACCCTAGTTTTACTAATAAAAAGGTCAATAAATCTCAAGAGAATTCACATGGTTGGAGCTAAATTGATTTCCAGAGACCAACAACAAGGAATCTGTTTTTATAGAAAGCATAGCAAGCTTCAGAACATAATTGGTTATTACCACAAACTTATCAAACCTCTGAATTGAATAACATCTTTTAATGATAAGCGGAAAAGGAAGCATATTTATTGTAAAAAATTGGATCATTGAATAATGCAATTCAGGAGATTTCCTTGACTTAGTGATAGGGTTTTCACTAGAGCTGACNCCCCCCCCATTGAGTCTCACTTTTGTAAGACACTTACAACTGGGAATGAAACAATTATGGTACATGTATTACATAATCTAGAGCTTGCTCTACAAGGTAAGATGGTGTTCTGTAGTTGATTATGGTATATGACATCATTTAATCCGCCATCTTGGATCTGCAAAATTAGATTTTGTAGTTTTTGTAGACTAGGGAAAATAGTTTAAACTGACAAACATGATGTCAAAATGAAAAAACAACAACAACAACAACAAACAAAAACAAACAAAAACAAAAACTACTAAGAACAGAAGACAACACATTGTGTCTAAAATATACTTCCACTTGTGCTTTCTAGAGGGAACTTCCAATAAATAATTTTTTATCTTACAATGAGCGTTAGAATTGGTGAAGACAGTTGTTTACATTTTAAACAGGGTTGAGTTGAAATTTTTCCACGGTACTCAAAAATAGCATCTTAAAATGAAAGTCTTATAACACTTGTCACTCGTTACATGGCTGGTCACACAACACCCTCTGTGACGTCACATTTAACGACTGGGAATGAAACAATTTGAAATTGAATTTTATTACAGTGTGAAGGAATCCTAACTATAAGTTATGTTGAAACTAATATAATTAACTACACTTGAGCGTTACTGCGTTCAGTTTCAAGCAAGTTCTAGACGGGTCAATATTATCCAACAGGAAACTTGAGCCAGTTCCCACAAATTTACACTTCAACTTTCTACTTGACCAAACAGGTAACGGATAGACTGTTTGAAATATTCTCTTCCTGAAAACCATGGATGCCATGGCGATTATTTAAAAAAGGAAATTGTCATTTAAGCGGAGATTCACGTGCGTCACGTGATATTTGATGACGTGGCTGACGTCACGAGAATTCTACACCAATGATGATGAGCTTGCCATATTGCGTCACGTGCGTTCACGTGCGTCATGTGATATTCGATGACGTGGCTGACCTCACGAGCTTTCTACACCAATGACGATGAGCTTGCCATCTTGGAGACAAACGAAGATGTGAGTGTTCCCTCTCGCCAGCGAGACGGAACGAATTGGAACTAAAAGATTCATCTTTTTTAACACTTGGAAACTGCAACAAAGGTACAGAAACACACATTTAAAGAAGCTCAGTCACGATATTTTGAGTTATTTTGGCTACGTACAAAATTGCCATTAAATTGTAGACAACCTGAAAATAGCAGTTTACTACGATAGAAAAACACCAAAAAGATAATAATAAACCATAAAGGAACGAGAATGGTTAAGGATGGAGAAGATGGACACGGATTACAAACAAAGAGCTTGAAAAATTTAGGCTTAACTTTTCAAGATGCATAAACCATGACGTAGCTTCCTTAAATTAGCTAATCAGAACGTTTACTGTCAGTCCAATACTTTCTAAGTACTGCACTGAGTCAAGTTATTTTTTCAATAATTCATGTCATAAATCACTCATTAATCTGTTAAGAGCAAGGATATTCTCCTTGTATGACCCTCGAGCTTAGTTAACACAAATTACCCAAAAAAATTCTGGTCAGTTTCCTTTGATTTCTGGAGATCGTACAAAGATCATGCTAACAGTTCCTAACCCTTCAAACGTTTGTTGAAAATTTCCCATAGGAATGGTATCATCAACCACCTATCGCCACTGCTTTGTACCGCACAGGGGCGTGTAAAACACACACAAAAAATTAAAATACAGATTTCAAACCTGTGTAACTGCCTGATTTCCAGTTTTCCATTGATACCTCCAGTAACAAGATATTCGCCAGAAATTAAAATATCGACGACATCTTCTTTTAATTTAGCGTCTTTTGACAGAAGTTTTCCATTGATAGAGTATCTACACAGGGCAAGATTTGATTCTTGCTTGCAGAACACCACAATGTTTCCATATTCGGACAGAGCTAGGCTGGTCACGTGACAAGGGCTGAGCTGTGAACAGGAAGCCGTTCCCATGGGCCTTAGCGTAACCACATATTCTCCTTTTCGCGCTGTGTAAATGATGCAGGTTCCATCCTAGTGAAAGGAAGCAGCCAAAGTTAGTTACACAAATTAGTTACACGAATTGACTCCAAACATTTAAAGAGCTTGTGAAACGTAGTAATTGGTGAAATTTGTGGCTCTTTGGGTGTAATATTCGAGGAGAAAATGGCTTTTAAAAACAGCAAAATTTCTGGGTGGCAAAAGCCCTAATGAGGTCATACATTCTTTGTAAAATTTGAGTTTTCAAATCCGCGTCCCACAAAACGTATTCAATACATCAGGCTCAAATGCCTTGGACAGTAACTGTTAATCGTGCTGTGCCCTTTCAATATTCAGGACTGATTTTTTTCGTAGCTTCATCAGAAACTGTATCGCTCATGCGAATGAGGGAAATATTGTGAACAAAGATTCTCCTATTAAATCTCCTATTAAATTTAATTAATCCTTTTTTTCCTAAAGTTCAAATCCGTTATTACGCGAATTTGCATACTCTATACTTAAACACCCCACCTGTGAACCGCTGACCGCCATGTCAAGCTCCCAACTCATGGCAACACATGTGACTGGCTTGTCATGACCATATAAGGTCTGCAGAGGCGTACGCTTCAACTCCTGAGCCACCCCTCCCTGATGAGTGATTTCCCACAGGCGGCATGTGGTGTCACGTGATCCGGTGATCAGGTGATGACCATCGTCATCCAACGAGACGCAAGTAATCACGTCTGTAAATCGCAAAAAGTATATTATGGGATCAATCTTTCAGCGCTTACAGGCTTTTTTTTTGTTAGTCCTTAAGACGGTATTTTACGCACACGATGGATACCTGTATGAGCCACAATTCTGGCTAGCTGTTTTCCCTTTGTATTGAAAACTCGGAAACTGTTGTCCCAGTGTCCAGCGGTTATCATCAACTTGGCATCATGGGTAATGGCGAACAAGTGCGATGAAACCTGCAAGTCAGGACTGAATGGGCCCGCGATACAACGGCGTAATCTGCAGCAGAAGCAAAGTTAACAATAACCTTTCAATAAAGAGAAGAGCAGTGTCCTTTTCGCATTAATTTGTGTCTTGAATATTGACTAAGCATGTGAATTTTTCTGCTTTTCGGTATCAAAGTCAAAATATTACATAATTCTTCTGGGGTAAAGGGTTCTATTTACAGATTGTAACACATTTTTTATTTCAGTTCTAAGAATTTGCTAGTCACATCACGACAATATTACCTGGTTGATGATTATCTTTATTCTTGTCACCTATCTACTCGACAATTCAACGACACTGTTATAAGAAATTGATCTTTGATCTCTTGTACTGGAGGACAACAATAATGCCACTGAAACATATTTTCAAGGTCATTGTTATGTTACCTGTTTGATGACAAAGAAGGGTCAAGTTCAAAGGTGAAAGGTTTTGTCCTCGTCTTAGAGTAAGGCAACCAGTCTTGCAATCCCACAACGCCATTCTGGCTGATAGTGATCATGTGTTCAGGCATGCCTGAATGAATTAGTGATCTGGTGTGTACCTGGGAAACTGCAGTGAACACCAGCGGGTCTGTAGCATCAGATACCTACCAAACAAACAGTTGGGTGACGTCGGCGATAGAAGAATTCACTTAAAGGAGCCAAGTTACGGTTTGCACATCTTGAAACGTTTGGCCTAAATTTTTCAAGTTTGTCGTTTGTATACACTACTCTGTTTAATCTTCTCCATTCTTAACCATTCTTGTTCCTTTATGGTTTATTATTATCTCTTTGGTGGGTTATCCAAATTTAGTAAACTATTATTTTCCGGTTTCCTTCAATTTAAAGGTAATTTTGTGCGTGGTCAAAATAACTCAAAGTGCTGTGACTGAGCTCCTTTACCGACTTAACGAATCTCAGTTTGATTCAAGAACCAAATTCAACTTCTTCAACTCTTAACCAGAACTTACGGTAACAAAATATGCTTTCAACTTATCGAAGTTCTCAAACACATTCTCCAGTGTTCGGCTTGTGCCCGCGCTCTTTGCTGCCTTAAACTTTGCGGCGTCGTCAGCAGACATGCGCTGTGGATGTGGCTGGCCGAGTAACTGGATTGGAGTTTGACCAAAGTTGTTAATCATTCCTTCAGTCGCCACTCGCTCGGCAGGGTCAGTAATGGCGTCAAGATCTACAGCTCCTGTGAGAATAAAACAAATTTTTCAGACGAAGCATTAAGGCTTTGAAGTTCGTAGACTAAAAGAACTGGAAAGAAGTTGGAAAGGCCGTAAATATGAATATTCTAACTTGTGACTAAGCAGAAAACAATTTCTAATTTTTAAACAATAAATTGACAACAAAGCACCCATTATCGAACCTTTTGCAACCTTGACATTGTATTCCCTGATTAAGACAAGACATTACAAACGATTTCTATGACCACATACATTATCCCCGCTGGTTCTTCTGACTAATGGAACCTATTTAAACAGTAGCAGTTTATGAATATGGCAACCAACGGGCCAGGAAAGGATAGCAAGCCATGTAAGAGGAAAAGACTTGGGAATAACAAAAACACTGTTTGGACCGTAAAGAGTGTTCGGAATAAGGCAGCAATCATATGTAGACGGTCTGAAGCTTAAAAAGACCAAATAATACCAGGAGAAAACACGACTTTTCCAGTTGAACTAAAAGCGCGGAGTAGGTTATCAATGCGGACATATAACACAAGGGTCCCCTTGAAATCCCTTGAGAGACATGTGGTGCCCAGTCACTCACTGTGTTTCCGCATACCTTCATAAGTACAATAGTAAAACACGTTCAATGCCTCAGCTGCAGCGGGTCCCTTTTGTTTGTAGCCGAATATCAAGTCAATCCAGTCGTGCAAGTGTGATGACACGTGATCAGATTCCAAAGCTCTCCTGTGTTTGAACACGAAGTCTTCAGGCGAGGTCGCCCAGCGAGGAAGAATGACGTCATCGACAGGTCCTCCTCGCTGAAGGTGGCCAAGATCAAATCTAAGAAAATAGAGTATATAACGTTTGCTTAAAACTATTATATAGACCAGCGTAGCAATATGCAAAGAATTAGTCGGTGATTTTCTTTTCTTCCAAAATCGGCTCCTACTAAGTTCCAAAATTTCCATTTCCGACATGGGTGGACGTAGGTGGAGGCGAGGAGAGGGTGCCTCTCAATAACTTGAACAGTGATTGGGACTGCACTTTTCGTTTCCAACAACAAAATCAGAAAACAGCAATTGTTCTTGTAAGCTTATCCCCCAAATCATCTAGCCTCAGTTTTCATGAGTTTTCCTAAAGCAAATGATTGGTTGAGCTACTCGTGTACTATTGGCCATAAAGGCCTGTCCTAACGGTACAAGTTTGGCGACCAAACATCACGAAATATTGTTTGGTGACCAAACATGCTAATGTTGAAGTGACTGGCCAGACGGTTTAAACATGTCTGATCAAACACAGATCAAACTATGGATACAAGCCGCTGAGCAGGCGTGGGGCGCATGCGCGCGCCAAACGTGTTTGATACAGCTGTCCAAACGAACAAAACATCGCCATCAAACACGAGAACTATCGAATGTTTGATGGCCTTCAATTTTTCCACGATCAAACACGATCAAACAGCACCAAACAAGGTGGCCAAACGGTAAAATGTTTGGTCACCAAACAATGTTTGATGGTGTTTGGTCGCCAAACATTTCCCGTTTGGACAGGCCTTAAGAGAGCAGTGGCCAGAGGTCGTCCACATAATGGCAACGTTTTCTAGTTTCTCTACAGTTTCAAGGAAGATTTAGAAATACTACAGGATATATGAATTCTCAAGAACCGTAAATAAAGGAAACTGCCCGTTATGCGACTTCTACTAGAAATTCTACCAAAACGATTAGATTATTCGCTCTCGATTTCTATGAAGTGATAGCTGATTCGGCCTTCGGCCTCATCGACTATCACCTCATAGAAATCTCGAGCTAATTGTTAATTATACCTGTTAGAGTTGACCAAGAAATCTGGAAAATAGAAAAACTCAGGTATAAGCTCTTTAACATCGCCGCCTTTGGAGTAAATTGAATCCCACGAGGAAGAGATGTTGTGAAACTGTCTGTCTGCGCAGTCAAACCGTCCGCTCTGAAGTTTAACATGAAGTGTGGTGAAGGGTTCCACGCGGAGCATGTAATGAAGAACGCCTGCGGAGCTTGAGTAATGTGAACCGTAGTGAAATTTGGCGACTAGTCCACATGGATCTTCAAAGGTGTCGTACCTAAAGAGAAGAGGATGGAAAGGTATGTTCCGTGAAATTTTAACAGAACAGATTGAGTGCGAAAATTGTTCGCATAAGCTGCAAGCTGAAAGGAAAATAGATATGTGGCGACAAGGAAAAGTTTACTTGAAACCTCAAATAGCATCTTTTAGTTAGTTTTCCAAACTTCTTCTGCCGATTAGGTAACAGACGCACTTGCAGCTCTTTGGCGTCTTTTTAGTGTCTTTTAAAATTGCCTGGCAACCAAAAAACAAACAACCGCATATTACGGGCAAGACTATAATGTCACTTACGTAGAGGAAATTTGCCATGTTCGTTAAATTAGCCTAATGGTTAGGGCGTTTGAGTTCAAATCGAATGGTTCGTGTTCGAACCCCAACCAGGGTTATCGTGTTGTGTTCTTGGGCAAAACACTTAACTCTCACAGTGCCTCTCTCCAACCAGGTGTATAAATGGGTACCGGCAAATTCAATGCTAGGGGCAGGTTGGAGCAGAAATACCCCTAGTTTTTAAATGACAACCGGAATAAGCTTCAGTCAGCTCTGTGATTGGCTAAGAAGTTTGGAAAACCAATAGAGAGATCACAATAGTCCGTACATTCATTTCGTCCATCTATTTACCAAGGTAAAACAACATACCTATCTCGTAGGGATTGTACTCTATTTGGATTCTGTGCCCCTACGGGCTTGGAAAGGTCCCTGTACACGGCAGGGTCATCAAGACGTAACTCTTCTGAGTCATAGTCCACAAGGACCCAAGGGAACACTGGATACTGACTCAGGTCGTTGTAGGTTCTTCCAGCGATGGTGTTCAGCTGCATGAGGTACTCAAAATTGGATATCTCTCTGTGTACCCACTTTTCTGTGAGCCCTGACGCCTTGAGTAAGTTCGCTGGGGATCTCGCACCAATGTAGTACAGATTACGGGGCCGTAGGGACATAATCTTCTTATAAACCTTGTTGCGGGTCTAACACAAAGAGCCGAAATAAATAAATAAAATAAATAACAATATTTAGAGAGAAATCCACATCAGCCTTATCCGGTTTTCATGCAGATCCTCTATCCTGGTCGAATTGGAATTTGGAGATGTTGGTTTTTGTGGAGGGAGGAAAACCGGAGAACCCGGAGAAAAACCCTCTGAGCAAGGCGAGAACCAACAACAAACTCAATCCACATATGACACCGGGCCGGAATCGAACCCAGGCCACATTGGTGGGAGGAGAGCGCTCTCCAATAACCAATACAAAATAACTGTCTAAGGTCAGTTCGAGATGAAACACAAACTCTTAAGGCAGGGGTGGGGAAAAATAACTCTAATTTATAATTACGCTAAATTCACCTCACCTAACAAATATCGGAAATATGAAAAGTAAAGCAACATAGAGACTGCATGGAGTGCCAAGGGTGTAAAAAGAATTGCGTGAAAGTGATTTTTGAGAGTCAATTTTGAACAAATGCAGTAACATAACGCGCACAGGAACTATTAAACACAATTTTCAATCAAAGAGAAGAGAACAGGTTGTGTCAAATACCTCCTTATTGAAGTTTAAGAAGTAATTTGTCTGATCAATCAAAAAGAACTCAAGAGCGCTTCTTCTAAGATTGTGCCGTCTTAAATGGACTTCTCTCAGCTCGCTCAACGGCCATTGAAAATCCTGACCAGCGGTCTCATCCGCATAGAAGTAGACATGCGTAGTGGTGATCTCCAGCTTCCCAGGGACAATATCCATAAGTGTTATTAGTTCACAAACCTCACCCAAAACTGGTTTTTCTGTTTCCGAAATTGTCCGTTGCCTCTCTTTACCAACTGGACTTCCGGGATCCTCGACTTCAAGAACGTCCTCGTCCACGTTTTGTACAACAGCCTCTTTCGCGACAAGCACGGGCACGGAAGCTTCGCGCGAGTCTCGCGTGTCCGCGTTGTCACGCGCGCGACTAGCTTCGGTATGAAGCGTAAATAAATAGTTTTGTGTCAGTTTGAGGCGCATGCGGTGAAAGTTCTCTGTGGAAGAGAGTTTCCAGTGCGATTCCTGTAACCTGTAGGACAGGCAAACTGGTCAACAACTAGTAATAAAGGTTAAAACATCCAAACACGCTTTGCGGGAATAAAGAAGACTTAGATGGAATCCACCAGAAGTTCGAGTCACAAGAGGACAAAACTTTTGTGCCGAGATTATTTACATCGTATTTCAAACTTCTGTGCGACTGTTTTAAATATCTTCATTTGTTGTTAGAAATCATTTCTAACATAACAAATT